AATTCTGACCTGATGGACCTTATGACAAACTTTAAAGTTGGGTAATGGCGTAATCAGGCTTACCATTTACAACAGCATTGTTACTTCTTAATTGAAGAATATCATCCATGATAAAGTTCACAGACCCTGATGTATAGGAATTAGTCAAGATTATAGAGCTAAAAAAATAAAGAAAAAGAAACTTCCAGAAAAGAAGACTATGTGTAAAGGGGCTATTTTTATGGTGAAAGAAAAAAGAAAACCTGTTACAAGCAAACTTTAGAATTGCTTCTGTCTGTCCTCTTGGCTGGTGAACCACAGCCCTGGTTTGGAGTCTTTCCTGAACTGGGATGAGCCTCTTGAGCTTGAAGATTCAAGTGTTTTCAGAAAGGGAACCTGCAATGGACTGGATTCTACTGGTGCCCAAGTGGACTGTGAGGTGGCTGAGGGTAATTGATACAATTTTACTTTCCCACACGGGGCTTGGATAGATTTCTTTTTATTTAAAGATGATTTAAAAGTACAATAACAGGGCTGTGGAAACATCTGCAGTACATGAAGAGTAGTTTTCTTGCACATGGAGGCAAAAACCCTTAGGTATATTGCAGGAAACAAAAGTTGAACTGTTGTGTGGTGTCTGTAAGTGTAAGGGACGGTTGCAGAGTTGAGAAAAGAATCAATGGAGGTTAGAAGTGACTACACGGGAACCTAAATCATAACAGCAAAATTCAGATATTCATGGAAGGCTGTAAAAATAGTTAATCACAGAAAGTGGAATTGATGATGGTGAAGTTATCCTTGGGAGCCTCCCAGAAAGTGCAGAGGGATGAAAATAAACTGGAAGACCCCGAGGGCACCGTATTTTATGTAAAACATCACAAAGGGATTACAGCCACTTTTTCTGTTAAAACATTTAAAATTTTAAGATTGAAACAAAGCTTGGGAACAAAATAAACTCCCCCAAAAGTCATCTTCAAGGAAACAAGAAGTTAACCTCAGCCTTTTCTGCAGGACTAAATTCTGAAACAAAGGGACATAGGAGCTTATAAGTATGTAGAACTTTAAGTTAGAGGCTTTGTAACTCACAAATTCATTACTCAGCTATGGCATCATTTATAGGTGAAGGCAAGGAGATCTCAGAAGATGTCCTGGGATGGGAGTGAAGGGAGTAGAGGCAGGATTTAAAATGCTCATCATAAAGGTGTAGTTCAAAGCTTTAGGATTGAAGAGGTCATAGTAGAAGATTGTGCAGCAAGCATATGTTGATGCCTATCATTTGTTGATGTCATTAGTCAAAGACCACCAAGACACAACTGTAGTCAAAATTGTTTTTATTGAGGCTTGCTGCAGCAACAGAGACCACACACTTTGGTGCTTCTTAGTAAGAAGATGTTGGGGGGGGCTTGTTAAAGAATTTGAGCATGTGTAGGTAATTTTGAGGAGCGCCCAAGTGAGTGAGGGCTTCTGGATTAGGTGCTGTCAGGAAGTGGGAGGAATTCTGCAACTGGGTATCAGTTTTTATCTAGGACGTAGGAAAGGAACCAGGTAAAGCAGCAGTAGTTGTGCATGTTCGCCACAAGAGGGGGTTGCCCGTCATTTTTGTGGTTTGCACAGTGCCTTATAGTCCATCTCACTTCATCAAGACCACAGTGACCTCGTCTGACATAGATCTGGGGGCTGTTAATATTCAGCAGGAGAACAACACCATGACCTTGAATGCAGGCCAGCTCTTGGTTCACAGAAGCTCCTTTTTCTCTCTCACGTTGAAACCATTGAAATGTGCAGAAGTAAATTAATAGTATGAAACAAAATAATGAAATAAGTAAAATTATATATCAAACATGGGGACATGAAGTAGGGGGAGAAGAGCATTAAGTTTAGGTTTTTCTCTTAAAAAGGTAGGCTCAAACTGCAAAGCTAATGATATGCTATTTACAAAAGATATGCCTGTAATAAAATCAGAAATTGCAAGGAAAAAGAGGCACAGATGTATCAGAGAAGTAAAAATAAGTACTGTGGGGTGGGCGTCTACCATGTGCCAGGCAATTTTCATACAATAGTTCATTTAATATGATATTTTTACAATTAGATGAGGTAGGCATTATTAACCTTAGTCTGTAGGTAAGAGAACTAAAGTTTAATAAAAATGAATGAATAAATTAGAGAGCCGTGGTTTGAATTTGTATTGAAGTCTGACTGGAAGGCATGTCCACTACACTACAATGCCTCTCCAGAAATCAGGAAAACCATCAATACTGGACTAAGAATTTAAAGCAAGCAAGCAAAGAGCCTTAACTACAATAAACAGAACCATTTCATATTGATAAGAGGTACAACCATGGGTACAAAAATGAAACGTGGACCAAATAGCATCAAAATGCTTAATGAAAATTTACTAGAAATACAAAAATTAAGGGATATAAATACAATCAATTATGAAGGGATTCTCAACAGTCCTGCCTATAAGGTCGTGGAAACAAAAAGTCACAAAGGACTTGAGTAACAAAGTAGAAAGAATGTGCATATATGCAAAGAGAATACAGTTAATACAGTCAACAATTTGGTAATGAGGTAAATAATACTCTTGGAGGGTTATGTTTTAAAGGCAACTCCGTGGATCAGACCCAAAGTACGGAGTTGTCTTTCAGCTTTAGGATGTCTTAATCAGGTTAAACTCCCCTCCCAGTACTACAGATATTGGAATTATTGGTTACAGAATATGAAATAGCTGGGTGAAATACTTAAATCTTTAATATTTAAATAAAAGGTAGAAATGTGAATAAGAAAGAATAGACTATAAAAAATGACCACACAATTTTAAAATCAACCAAATATAACACTTAAAAAATATAATAATTGAAACTAAAAACTGGTACTCTATTTAAATAGATTAGGTACAACTAAAAAAAGAATTAGTGACAAATATGTAATACATATGCACAAATTTATAATGTATAAATATGTAATGTATAAACCACAGATAATGTATATATGTGTATTATATATAAAATGGAATCAGAATATAGCCTTAAATATTATTATCAACATATATTAAATAAATTACTAAACATTTAACTAAAAAACCTGGAAAAGATACAAAACAAATGTCCTCTTGGGGGAGGGCCCAGAGCATATTTTTTCCTGTTGGGTTGTCCATTTTTCTTACCAGTTTTTAGAGATTGTTACATACACCATGGGTAGGTGTTTCCTGTATGTTCTGTCTCATGCATATTTTTGGTTTGTAGCTTCATCTCCATGGCACAGCTGGGAAGATGGGCACTGACTCTGCAGCCCTGGTGTCAGGATGGAGAGGAAGTTTAGAGAGAAGGCAGCCAAGGCAGAGAAGCCAGCCAATGAGCAATGGAAAAGAGAGTCTGTCTTTTTTATAGGTATTCTTTTTAAAACATTTATTTTTTAAAATTTATTTTATTTTTCATCACCATTTATCCCGTATTCCACTCCACCCCCCAGTCACCACACTGTTGTCCACGTCCGTGAGGCCTCTCTCTGTCTTTTCTTTCTTATT